CGTATTGCCAGTGTACAAACAACTGAGCACTTGCAGAGACGGTCTTCCTCCCTTCGATTTATTTTCTCCAAATGCTCTTGAAGCCAACGTGAACACTTCACACGATAAGCTTAAGCTGAATAAAACTTCGATAATTCTGGAAGTCACCTGCATCAACGCTCGCACATCGCGAATGAACCACAACAATCTCTTCTCTCAACTCTGAGAAGAAGACGTAGTACCGAGACTTAGATATAAGATTCGATGAACAATATCTCAGGCAAGATATCGAAAAAGCTTCTCCACATTCTCGAGCTAACAATAAAGCTAAAAATGTTTAAGAGCTTTCCACCTAACAGCATCAGATTAATCCATTTTAATGACTCGTAGTCCTCAATCACAGCCAATTCATATAGTACCTGCAAGTCCTGAAACGAATGCTGCAACATATTACTTGGAAGACACGCGGTTATGGCACAGCCGCTCATTGTCCTCTTTACTTGGAATGAATCTCCTGCTCAGTTCATTCTGAATTTCCTTTTTGAGTGAGCGGTGTGGTTGATTTCTCAATTGACCGAGACGCGCTGCTAAGTGATACAAATCAGATGATGCTCCCGAGTTAATTCCTGGATTGAGATGAACATGAATAGGGAGAACTGACTACGAACAACTGGTTATTTCCATCAAAATCATTGATAATCTCATCTGATAGGACCAAAACACGAACAACACTGAAATGAACACTTATGATGAGACCTGTATGAAGGCAGAGCATTAAACTTTCTTCAAAAGCGAGCACTAACAGGCTCGTCGTGATTCGTCAGTTTCAAATTACAAGTATGAATGGACTGAACCGAATTATGGCGAGAAGAACACAATACATACGAAACATCTTTATTTCAGAACGATAAAACTCTTTAACTATCACATGCTATGTGTAGTTCTCCCTGTCTACACTGCGCACAATGCCCCCGATCTACAACAAATACCTGAAGCCTAAAAGTTTACCTAACACATTTCAATTTCAGGATTTTGAAAAGAAAGCGAAAATTTTTCGTTTCAGAACAATTCTTACCTGCTCTTCCTCGAGTGTGGTTCTACCAACGTCACTACAATAATGTCTGGATTGAATACTTCCTTCTGGGTGGCAGCATTCTGATGGTCTTCCTTCCTTCGATGCATTTTCTCCAAACGCTCTCGAAGCCAACATGAGGGCCTTATGTACAATAAGTTAAACCTGAAAAAAACTTCAATCATTTTGGTATCTACCTGCGTCAACGTTGGATACCAAAATTGAAATACACTCCAACTTAGGTTGCCCTTGACAATCGGAGGGAAAAAAACGTTTCAGAACGAACAAAACTGTTCTCAGTACAAACTGGAACGAACATTATTTTTATCTTACCTGTAGCAAGACGTTTCAATCAGCATACCAGCATGACATAGTCTACCGCAGAACATTCACAAAGAATCTAAACTACAGCCATCATGTGAACGATTTATGAAGACGTAGCTCCTCGGTTATAATCTTTCA